TTCCACTTAACGTTAAGGGCCCCATTCTGGTCTGACTGAAACAAGCATAAAAATACTACAGTGAATTTGAGTAGGTAGGTGTATTGAGCTTTTCTGGTAGGGTCTTTTCCTGTTTATTAACATCTGAAATACCAGCTGGATCTTCAGTCTGAGTACGTTGTTATGTACCAAATTTGAGTTTTGTTCTGTGGGTTCAGAATAACATCTTTTAACTCCATATGGTAAGTATAGAAAATGTGAAGATTACTTGACCCTTGAAAGATCCTGAAAAATATATTTTTTTTCCTTCCTCTTATTCTGCCTAGCAAGGATCCATGAAATACCATGCAGATAAAAATCACTGTTAGACTTGAGATCAGTTGCTTTTTCTATCGATTACTAGATTCTGCAGCTACCCATGCAACAAGCTGAAGATAATACGGACTACGAGTTAGATATCTAAGATAATAGTTACATTAAAAAACAAAAACAAAACAAAACAAAAAAAAACCACTTTAAAAGAAGTAAAATACCAAGTACCATCTGTATACAAACATCAACCCATCATAAACTTACAAATAAAACAAAAGGCAAAATAAAAATATAATGATGTGGTGTTGTCACAAGCTGTGGAGAAAAACTCTCTTCTTGTCACAGTAGAATTTGCATTACATTTCAAATGAAATCTTAAGTGTTTCACATAGGATACAAAATAAAATCTGTGTATTCAGAGTCTAGTATGATAATTCATTCTTAGGTCGGATCCAGAAATAAATAGTGCATTAGATGTTTAATGACATGCCCCGACTGTATGTTTGTTTGGTATTATACCATGAACCTGAATGTATTCTTCCTTCAATTTCTTTTCTTTTAATGTTGTTGACAGAACCTTACTCAGGTGATTGGAAGAGAGGCATAACAGATCTTGACATATTTTATAGGTGTTTTATTATGCCTATTATAATAGATTTATTATATTTATTTTATTGTATTAACGTGACATCTAACATGGAATATAGAATAAATCAGAACTACAAATTTTCAAATTTTTCCCAAAAGTCTGAATTAAGACCAGGAGCTGGATCTAGAATTTTGCCTGTTCTATGTTTGGTACATCAGAATGAAGTTGTGGAAACAAATTTCCTTGAACTTGGGAAAACTGTGATTCAATGTCTGGCCTTTGCAGGATAATCCATCTCTTTGTGGGCTTAAAATGTGAAAAATAAAATGGTAAGATTCAGATTTTGTACAAAAAAAAAAGTCAGAAAGATCTAGAAATTACAGGATAATGGAGTCTACATGGCTTTGAGGTGCACTTGTAATCATAAGCATGAACGTTGTTTTAAACTCTCCAAAATGCATTTTGAAAATGTACATATTTTCCTGTCAGCAAGAAGATCAATACAGTGCTGTCCAAATTGTTCATCCACTATTTAGCCTTCCTTGTGACAGCATTACTGTCATACTTGGTTATACAAGTTAATTTAATTGAAATTTCATTCACTGTAGGAAGGATGAGGAAGTTGATCATGTCTCAATAATGGAAATCTGCAAGGGGAAGGCGTTGACCTGTGTATTGAAATAACAACCGCAAGGTACTAGGTCATTTCCAGGTTTACATTTGAGGCAGGTGCTTTGCCCCAGGTGACTTGAACTGGAGTTGTTTAAAATGTCCATGTCTCACCAAAATTAATGGGCATTAGACTGTATACCTAATAGTTCAAAAACACTGTAGGTGTTATACACAAGGCTTAATCTAGTTGCTTTCCCGTGTGCTAAGCTCTTTACATAACAGTATGTTTAGTAACTGCATTCTGAAAACTTTCTCTAAGCTATAGCAACAACTTTAAAGCAGAAGAATAATGGTGTTAGAGAAGGTTGGACTGTGAGAAGCACATGGTTCAAAACCCCCCCCATTCTTCTATTTCCTGTCGATAGTGAATTGTTTTTGGAATTTATCTCTTTGCATAACTGTCTATTATAGTATAGCATGACTGAAATGCCTTGACACCCAGTCAGCCTCACAGACTATGGGAGTTGCTGTACAAGTGCTCTTCCATTTCTTTACATGACCAGAAACAGCCCAGGGAAGACAGGCAGAGACATGAGTGAGCAAATTATAGTCTTCATCCTTTGATAGACATAGCAAAATTCAGAATCCCAAACTGACTAACACTCAGTGTACACCAGTCTCTAGGGTAATAGAGGAAAGCTCAATTTATGTAGTTAGGTTAGGAGCAGCCGCTACCTCCAGCCACGCCAGCCCATGTCTCCTTCCTACCCCAGCCAGTAGAGCCCAGGTCTCTGCCCAGGCTGAGGGACCCAGCTGCTACTTTCCTCTCAACCAGTAGGAAAGTGCGGAACATGTCCCAGAGAGCGGTAATAACTGTGTGCTAATATCATGTAAGTCAAGAACTGATACTCTTGATTCAGTGAAGCTGAGAATCAAATGTTGAAATGCTTATCTGTTTTGCTGGAATATATTGTCAAATCTAATCATATATTTGTGGCTTACTTCTTTGGTTCATACTCTTTTCGTTGTGAAGAGTAAATTGTGGTTCTAGGTTTTGATCTTCTTTTTCAGTTAGTGATTGAAGGATGTCAGATAATCTTTTATTATATTCAGATATATCCATATAATGTCATTCTCTTTGCTGGGTTTACATGCATGTCACTAAGAGTTTACCTCAGTGTTGGGCAACCCTGAATTTAATATTGAAAACAAAGAAATTGTGGAACCGCTTTGAACTGGAAGACAATACACAGGTCTCGTGCACAGCTCTGCTAATGCACTGAAGATCTAAATGACCAGGTGCTTGGTGTTAGCTTGGGGTTCTTGCTGAGAAAGAGTTATACGGTAGTTTCAGTGACAGTTTGAAAACAGACAATTGTGCTGAAAGTGTGAGCTGTTTAAATATAATTGGAGGAAGCACCTGATAGGAACATGCAAATATTGTGCTTGCATCGACCAAACAAAAGACCAAACAAAAACTTGCACTTTCTGTCTCTCTCTGTATGTAAAGCCTCAGAGGAATCAATTTAATTGGTCACTGGAAAGAACAAGTTGAAAAAAAAAGAAGTAGGAAGCAGGTTTCTGAAAGCCCTGTCTTCTTTTCATCAGATAAGTCACTAGCCAATGCACATGCTGGGAAGAGAATATAAATCCTGTCCCTACAATTTGACTGTTCTGCCAGTCCAAAATAACAATTCCTACAGTCTAGGATTATGTTAGTGGAGGGCAGTTGGTCTGATGAGGTTATTATGCACTAGCTAGGCAACTGGGGGAATCCCCAGGAGTTTTTCCTTCTCCATCTGATGTGTATTAGTGTGAGGGGGTTGTTTATCTTTCTCATATCAGTTTATGGCTCCCTGTGATAGTGTCACAATTTCGCTCCAAAGGTGGTATGACCTCAGGACAAGCATTTGCTCAAATTCTTGAAATACCTGTCTGATCTAACTTTTAGCATGGTCACTGCTTAATTACTGTAACATCCCTGATTAATTCTGTGGCACCACCAGTGAACTCTGAAGTGAGTGCTTGCTGAAGTGAGTCAGGGAAACTTTTGAGCTATTGGCAGTAACTTTAGCTGATGGGCAAGACAGTTTTAGAAAAATTTTAAAAACATTACTGGTCATATGAATGTTCTGGCACAGCCTTTCAGTTAAAATTGATCTTAATTATATTTTGGGGGAGACTTACATGCATCTGCAGGTTTTTTTAGGTGCCGCATTAAGCAGCATCTGTCCTCAAGCCCCAGTTGCATATTTCTGCCCTCTGTTCATTGCCTTCTCTTTTAGCCAATCCAACTATTTGTGTGGCACATGATAAACTGTATTCAGGAACAGAATTTAAAATTATGTTCATTCCTTTTTCCTGCTGCTGTATAAGCAGTGTTGGTTTGATAATCTGTTATTCTGTCTCCACAAATAGCTGTTTCCATGCTATTGAAGAAGACAGTAAGGCATTGGAGATCGGGAAGTTGGGTAGGAAAGTGGGAGAAGGAATGGGAGCTGTATAATCTGTTTTAGCTACCAAAGTGAATGAGTATGATTTTTTTACCCATGTTAGTCAAGAACCGCATGGCTAGTCAACTTCCCAGCTGAAATCTGCAAAACCATTATGCATTTTTCAGACTTTTAACCTTCTTTACCAATAAATTCCTTCCTGTTCTTATCTTACAAAGATTCCGTCTAAATTATTTTCTTGAAGTTTTCAGGGAGTTCATTGTTAAAGATTTATAAGTAGTGAATGAGACTCTCCACTGTCTTATCGAGGACATTTTTCTTAAGTAAATTGACACATTCACTTCTGAAGGGCATTCAGTTAAACAATTACATACAAACATCCTCTGTCTCCTGCCTTTTAGCCTGAGTCAAGACACTAGTTCATTCTCACCTTTTATAAATCACCTTCAGAAAGACAGGCTAATGAATGTGTTCAGAGCAAAAATGAAAATACTACAGAATTTTGTCAGATTCTTCAGAAGTGGGCCAGGAATTAGATTTTAGAGTTAGTTTTATGTTTGCAGAAAGTTTCCAACACAGGTATTCATTGCTCAGGAAGCCTAGTTCTAGAGAAAGCTGAACTGGAAATTCACTTAATAGAATACATGGAATACATTTCTGTCAGGAAAATCTGAGAAACGGGAATGTGATTCCTAAAATATAGCAAGGAGATGAATCATTTTCTTATTGCCTTAGTCTTCGTATGAAGAGAGTAGTAATGATAAACAGCAATAAAGGGCTAGGGGAGGAGGAGGATAGCAGAAGACTTCCATCCTGTAGACAAAAATTAATGAAAGTATCATCAGCTGTACTTTATAAATTCTTTGAGGTAGTTGCCAATGATTTAAATCAATAACATTGCAATGTAATCTAATAACTGTATAATATTTCCTTCCCACCTTGCATTTTTCTTCCCCATCTAGAAAACGTCTTTTTCTGTGAAAAAAAAAAAAAAAATACTGGCTTGAGTAATAGTATATGAAGCTAATTATGTTCTTTATTCTGCTGCTTTACAGGGTTTCCTGTACAGATGAATGACTCGGATCACCCGCTATTTCAGCATGCATTTCAAGGATGCATGCAGTTTATTCACGTGGATGATCAGCTAGTGGATTTGCACGCAGTGGAGCAGGGCCAGCTGGGAAGCTTTGCCAATGTCACCATTGACATGTGTGCCATTATTGACAGGTAAGTTGTGGTAACATCACTGATACACTGATACATGTCCTGCCTATTCTGAAAATATACAGTGATACAGAAAAGGTGCCAGTGATCACATCAAGGCAGTCCTACCTTTTTAGCAGTGGGAACCATGCTTAGATGATGGATATGATGGCTTTAAGTTGTAGATTGTGCAGGGTACAGGTGAAAGCCTATTTCCAATCTCCCCACTCTCAGGCAGAGGATTAGGTGAAAAGCTCTTGTAAATCAAACCCAGCCCACAGGTCAATAATATGGCTGCCTTGAATAGAAGGAACTCTCCTGAAAAGTCACACTTTGTTTCTTAGATTAATGTTATTAAGATCTTTTTGCAACTAGAAGTTGTGGTTCCTAGCTTCAGTGCCTTCTGGCTTCACTGAATTGCTCAGAGAACTAAAACAGGTCCACATGTTTGCACAACTATGCATGTAACAAATGCTCAGACTTTATGAAAATAATGCTCAGTAGTTGTTTTTGGTTTTTTTTTTTCCAAACTGAGAAGAGTAATTCAGAATTATGGCAGGCTTTTGCTCTGAGCTCTACTTCCCTGTGTTAATTTCTGTTGCTCCTGATTAATAGTTTCTTCTTACTTGACAAAAAGGAAATTTAGAATTCCGCTTTGAAAGAAGAAAAAATTACAAGACCCTAGAATAATTCAGGTAACAAGCAACCACTGGAGTTCATGTGCTCCAAGCCCTGCTCAACACAAGACCAGCTTCAAAGCTACATCAGGTTACTCTGGGCCACATCCAGCCAAATTCTGAGTATCTCCAAGGATGGAGATTTCATAGCCTGAGTGACTGGATATCATCAGCAAAGATCTGCATAGTTATGATAAAGAAATGCATGTGGTTTTAATTTCTTGCCATAATTTAAGAGAACCCCAGAGATAAATGCTAGTGTGAAGAAACAAAATATGGCATACTGCTTTGGTCTCGCAAAATGCCTCTCTTCCTGAAATGTAGACATTAGTTTGTACTGAACAAGATGTAGTGGGTTGACCGTGGACAGCAGCCAAACATCCACCCTACCTCTTGCTCACTCCCCTCTCCAGGGAGATGGGGAGAAAAATAGAAGGAAGGCCAAAAGAGTCATGGATTAAGATGGCAGTTTAGTAAGAATGGCAGTTTAGTAAGAAAAGCAAAAGCTGCACATGCAAGCAAAACAGAGGAATTCATTCAGTACTTCGCATCAGCAGGCAGAAGTCAAGCTGCTTTGTGGGAGGCAGGGCCTCTGGACATATAAGAGCAGTTTGGGAAGAGAAACTCCATAACCCTAAACATCCTGCCTTCCTCCTCCATTCTCTGAGTTTTTATTGCTGAGCCTGACATTGTACAGTACGGGATATTGCTATGATGAGTTTTGGTCAGCTGTCCCAGCTGTGTCCCCTCCTAACCTCTTGCCCACCTCAGCCTCCAGGCCTTTATGAGGGAGGGTGTGGCAAGAAAGCCTTGACGCTGTGCAAGCCCTTTTCAGCAGCAGCCTGCGCAGTGCTCTGCTACCAACACTCTTCTAGCCACAGCTGGGAAGCACAGCACTATACAGGCTGCTATGGAGATTAATTTATTAATTTCACAGAATCACAGAATAACGTAGGTTGGAAAAGAGCTTGAAGATCACCTAGTCCAACCATTAACCAAATACTGACTGTTTGCATCTCCACCAGATCCCTCAGCGCTGGGGCAACTCGACTCTTCAACCCCTCCAGGGATGGGGACTCCACCCCTGCCCTGGGCAGCCCATTCCAACGCCCAACAACCCCTTCTGCAAATAAATGCTTCCTAAGAGCCAGTCTAAACCTTCCCTGGCGTAGCTTGAGGCCATTCCCTCTTGTCCTATCACTTGTTCCTTGGTTCAAGAGACTCATCCCCAGGTCTCTGCACCCTCCTTTCAGGGAGCTGTAGAGGGCGATGAGGTCTCCCCTCAGCCTCCTCTTCTCCAGACTAAACCCCCCCAGTTCCCTCAGCCGCTCCCCGTACGACCTGTGCTCCAGACCCTGCACCAGCTCCGTTGCCCTTCTCTGGACACGCTCGAGTCATTCAATGTCCTTTTTGTAGTGAGGGGCCCAAAACTGAACACAGGAATCGAGGTGTGGCCTCACCAGTGCCAAGCACAGGGGTCAGATCCCTTCCCTGTCCCTGCTGGCCACGCTATTGCTGACACAAGCCAGGATGCCATTGGCCTTCTTGGCCAATTTCATCCCAGCCCAGAGCCAGTATATCATTTCTGTAATGTCAGTGCTAAGGAGAATGCTTTGTGGTATACCAGGGAGTTGTTCTGGCATGCCAGGTCACTTTAAATTCCTGCTTCTCAGGGACTTGTTCAGGGTTGAAGTCATAGTGAAAGAGGAAGTGAAGAGCTGCTGTCACAGGGAAGAAGTTTCTTCTAACTTCTCACATAGAACTGAAATTAGAAAGGTCTCCTGTGCTTAGTATTTGGTAGTTTGAATTGCTTAATTTTATTTTGAATATTTGCTTTGGAAATGTAAACTGACTTGGAAGAAGGGATGTGAAGATACATCTACTCAAGTCTCTGCTTTTTCCCCGATAGATAAATTTAAGCTTATGTGACAGTATTGATCCTACTTATGCCAGTGTCTGTTAGAAGTAATTCTACTATCATAGTGAAGTTAATCAGAATTAGGCTTTTGCAATATATTACAGTGTAAATACAAATAACTTACAACATGAGTTAATTAGAATCAAACCTTTACAAAGCCTTTTTGAAAAATAAGACTTAAAGATTCCTATATGTCCTTTGAAGTAAACTTCATATAGGAGCTGTTATTTATATTTCTTTTTATCACCTATAATAATATATATAATTTTTAATATATTGTGCCATATTCCATAAATGATATATGAAATATTTTTTACAATATTAAAACAATATTTTGATTTATGCATTCAACGTGTATATGAGGTTTATTTTATGTAGTTTATATATATAACATTGATATTCATATATTTTAATATAAATAACAGTGTAGATGTTTATGTATGTGTGTTTTCTTTATATAAGAGAATCTATTGTCACTCTGTTTCCCTCTTCTGCCACCTTGGGTGCTGATACCATCCTCATTATATAAATTAAAACTGTACATCTTGCATTTATGCTTTCTAAGCACTGGAGGATTATGTTGCAAACAGAATAACAATAGGAAATTAGAACAGTATCCAAAGACTTTTCTTAGTCTTGGTTTTGATTTTTTTATGGACTGAGGTGTAATCTAGTTTGTTATTTTCCCCATGATCAAGTTTATTTCTTTGTAGTTTGCAATTTAAAACAAGGCTAAGAATAATGCCAAGCTTTAGACCTGACTGGATTTTCATGGCTGTCTTATTAACATCTTCAAATAAGTTTACAAGCACTTCTGTTACAATATGCAACTATGTATTAACATTTTTTATGTGGCTTTCTTTTAAAAGATCCAAGTACCATGTGTGCTATATATTAGCTTAATTTAATTTCCTTTGAAATGGGAAGATACTTGTGGCTACGACACTGGGATCTTCCTGTTTTTTTAATCTTGTCTGGCTCTGAATCATAAAGGCTGCGGTCATCATCAACATGGAAATTGCTTTCATAGCCACACTTCAGTGAAGACCCCCACTGGGCAGAAAGATAAGCTGTCATATTGAATTATTTTTACTGCAGACTTCAGCCATTTGGTTGGGGGAAAAATGTAAAGTTGTAAATGATGGCATTTTTCATCATTAGTGAGAGAGGACAGTAAGGAGGGGACAGTTTATAAGAACATGACAGAAGGTACTGAGGGTGGCAGGTTCTCATGTTTACACCCCCTTGGAGGTAACTGCTTCCAAAGTCCCAGGTTCTGCCAAGCTAAACACCTGCCCTGTATGGAAAATTTTTCCACATTTTAATTCTGGTATGTTTTTTAAGATGTTAAAAGAATATCCACATTAGAGTATTACACTTGTACTTGGGACACACAAGTGTTAAACCAGTGTCTTTTTATTTTTAGTCTTTTCCTCCTCACGTGAGCGTTTTGCTATAGCAAAGACTACATGCTGAGATGTTATTAAAAAGAAACACCAAAGCTAAGGAACATTCTGGTTTTGTCAGTGGCCAAATAGTATAAATGTATATAATTTCATGCACACACACACACACACACACACACATATATTAAGGACAAACAGTTAGAATGCTACTGAGAAAAAACAATTGTCCCTGTTTCTGTATCTTAATTAACTTTATGTGCATTAGCAATGGAAGTTGCATTGTTGTCACAGTGATCAGCATGCTGTACTACTTGTGACAGCACAGGTCCCTATACACCTCCTTTACTTATCATTAACAAACTAACTTGTTACAGTCCAGATGGTACAGTTGTACTTTAGGATTTTAGCACAGGACATTGGAGCGGAATTATTACTCACAACAAATTTATCCCAGCAGTCTCAGAGAATTCTAAAGCTTGCCTGACTTCATTGTGGCTAGAATTATGGATTTTAATCATGAAATCACAATGAGGAGATACTAAAATGATTTAAAAATATAGTGTCCAATCTGTCGTTGTTGATTATGCAGAACATATGCCAATTTTAATGAAAATCTCTGTGTACCATAAGAGGTGAAATGACAGAAATGGGGAGAAAAATGCAGTACCAAGAATTTTCATATAGCTGCTTCCAGTGTTTTATGAATGTGCAAACTGTGTGATTCCCTCTGTAACACAGTGAGATTAATTAGATGCCAATTTTCAATAATAAATTAACATTAAAGAATTAATGTGAGTAATCAGATACCTGCCGCAGGACGTTTCTGGGTGATTATTGCTCACCTGCTGTGGTGATACGTTCTGTATGACAGAGAGCCAGCAACTGGCTTTAATCCTGTACAGCCACATTCTCTAGACTATGTGATTGCCAATCAAAATTGGTAATAATTCATTTCAATAACAAAACACAGCAAGCATATTGGTGCATGAAAATGACCACAATGTAACTGGCAGCAAGACAGAA